TGAGTTGCACGGGTGTAAATTTAGTAATTATCAAAGCATCTAATCTATACTATTAGGTCCAAACAATTTATAGACTAAGCTTTAACTTCATTTATTACTAGGACAAAACAGAATAGATCAAAACTGTTATAGCTTTAGTGATACAACCCAGATTTACTACAAGTGTTAAAAGTGTAGTAAACAGGGAAAAAAAGGTTTAAAATGTTTTGCATTAACCCTAACTTTGAATGCTGTCAACTATAGGTAATCCTCCACTTGTGACCACAGTTGACCCCAAACCTTCTGGTACTAAGTGACAGAGTTAAGAATTTTGCCCCATTTNGTGTGTGTGTGTGTGTGTGTGTGTAAATAAAAACAGGTTGTTTACTGACATTGCAAAAATAAATTAATACTTCCATTATCACTTGTACTATTAAAGTTGTATTACAACATCTTTTTCAAAAGTATCCTTTTTTTGTCCTCAATTCTGTCTGAAAACTTAAAGCTACTTATCATGTATCAGTCAACACAATATAAATTACCAAATAGAATTATACACTTATTAAAATCAATGTCCATGCTTGAATTTATGTATTTTCATGCAAAGAAGCATAATCTACTTGCTTAAAACAAGTCATACATTTTGAAAGTTACCATCTTCATAATTAACTATGTATATTGACTATTATCAGTCCTGGAGAATTTTCCTTGGCTGACACTATTGTTTTTATGAACATAAAGATTATGCTAGATACAAGTTAAAAGACAGGGAGTGTACCTATTTTTTATTACACTATTGTAAACATTTCAAAAATATGCAGACCTTACTCACATGACTTAGGAGTGCAATGAAGCCTGCCCATTATAGTTGCAAGATGTGATAGTTGTTAAGCGACCCACACACAAATGCTTTGCTTAAAAACCCCTATCCCTGCTTTCCCCAATGCAGTAGTTAAGTGGGAAACCTGGAGCAGTCCACAAGCCACTTCCTGTCCCTTAGGGTCCCTGTAGGCCTTGGGTCTGCTCCCCACCCCATTCCCCCCCCCCCCGCCTATCATCGATTACACACTTATCTTCTGTAGATCTCTGAAGCTTCATGTTGGGGAAGGTGAACAGGTCACTTCCAATCTTGGCACACCTGAAGGCCATTCCAGAAATTGGCACCATTTGTGGAGCAGCCACAATTCATTGCAGCCTCTCCAATAATAGTGCTGTTTCCTGGGATTCTGGGGATGCCAAGGGGTGGAGCTTTCTGCTGTCCTTCACCGATGCACATTCTGAAACTCTGGAGATCACATTGAGTAAGGAGAGTGGGCCACTTCACCCCTTGGTATCCCTGAAGGCTGCGTGGCTCTGTCTTGCAAGTGGATGTCATTTTTGGAAACACAATTCATGGTGGCCACTCCAAAAAAGGTGCCTGCTTCCTGCAGGGATGCCGAGAGGTAGAGCAGCCTGCTCCCCTTTCCCAAATTAGATTAGATGGGTGGCCATACAAATTGAATAAATAGATAAATAAGTGCCATCTACCAGAAGACTAGCATATGATTCAAGCCATTTCCAACAGAAGGTATCCAACACAGTAAGAGTTTGTTTTTTAAACAGAATGAACAGAAACAACTATCTGTTAGACTGGGCTAGATCTGATTCAATCGTTTACAAAACTAATGCAAATTCAATCTTATTTGGTAAAAGCAGGTGATCCAAACCATTATAACTTTTCTGAATTAAATTTGTTTAGGTTAATGTCATTCTGCGTTTTTTAATGGGAGGGTTTTATATATACTGCTTAAATTAGCTTGTGGAAGAAACACAGGATATTAAGCTAATGAAGGAATGAATGAACAAACAAATAAATAAACATATTCTGAGGTAAGAACTTTGAGCTCAGTTCGATTTACTCTGTTAACTTGGACAAAATTATTGCCTACCTTATAAACTTCAAAGACTAATTAAAAGAAAGCAAACCCAGGAAGGTGGTGGTGGGGAAGGGGAACAAACCTATTGGCAAAACTTTCTCACTATTTATATTTAGCATGTTACGTTTTTATGGAAGTCTGCTTTTAAGGGAAACCAAATTATTACTGCAACAATACATTCTTTTGTTATATAGCCTAAACATAGGTCAATTATGTACGTGTAATGAGGGTGTCGTGTCTATATCCTACATCTACAAGGACAACTTTGAAATGTAAATGTTTCACATCCTGAACAACAAACACAATATAAGAAACATGAAAGATTTACTTTTTTTCTAGGAAATTAGCTAAGCAGAAAGTTAAGAACATTCCATACTTTTTAATAAAAAATCCATTACATTAATTAAGCTATTTGTTTTGCAAAATATAAGTGTATAGAAAAAATACACTCAAGTATCAGGTATTAAGTTGTTCTACTCTACTATTTGGCAAAGATCAATCGTTATTATAATATGACTAAGCATTTTAAGGTATGGCATGCAGATCATGCTAAGCAAAACAACAGAACAAAATTCTGTTATTAGAGGCTGTGAGCAAAGAAAAGAAGCATAACAACTGATGCACTATATAAAAAATATTTTGCTAAAAGGCAATGTCTCATACTGATGCTCATTCCCAATTAAAAAAACTCTTGTCATTTGATTAGTAGGTATCTACAGATAATCCTCGATTTATGACAATTGAGCCCATAATTCTGTTGCTAAGACAATTGTTAAGTTAGTTTTGCCCCATTTTACAACCTTTCTTGCCACAGTTGTTAAGTGAATCACTGCAGTTGTTAAAACAATTATACAGTTATAAAGTGAATCTGGCTTCCCAATTGACTTTGCTTGTCAGCAGGTTGCAAAAGGTGATCACACTGTTGGAAGAAATGCCCTTCTGGGTTCAGCTCCAAGTGGGGAAAAAGACACTGGAGACATGGAGGCTGCTTGGAAAGATGGTTTAATGGTTGACAGGATCACATGGCTTGAGTCATGAACAGAAAAGGTGATCACACTGTTGGAAGAAATGCCCTTCTGGGTTCAGCTCCAAGTGGGGAAAAAGACACTGGAGACATGGAGGCTGCTTGGAAAGATGGTTTAATGGTTGACAGGATCACATGGCTTGAGTCATGAACAGAAAAGGTGATCACATGCCTCAATGTTGGGTGAAGAAGAGAGAGGAAGGAGCTTGCTGGACTTTTTATAATCTGTTCAGCCCCACCTTTGTTTCCTGTTCCTGTGTAAGAAATGTATTCTGATTGGTTATCAGACTCCCATGGGGCCATGCAAGGGC